TGTTATTTTGCAGGAGAGAGGCCAATAACATCAAAAATGAAGTTGTGATATTCCTCCCTGCCATGGTTCTCATATGCCGCTATATTTCTTTTTCTGTGCAGATCAAGAAAAGAGCTGTGAGTCTGGGAAGGAACAGGCTACTAATTAATTATCTGTAGAGGGTTCCCACAAGGTGGAAGTGCTCAGAAGTCCCTCTGTGAAACAGGGGAAGGGCTAAGATGGCCATAATCATGCAATAGGGTAGAACACCACTTGTAGTAACTGAGCACTGCCATGGAGCAACTGGAGTCCCATTAACAGTTAAAGGGTCCTGATTCAGCAAAGTACTGCTACACTTTCAGCTTCTTTTGCTGGATATACTGCAAGGAGAAGTTCAGAAAAGGGTAGCTGGGACATTAAAAGCACTTTTCCTCATTCAGAGTCCTGAAGGTCTGATCATACATGGGAGAGTTTTAAGTCAAATAACTCAGGCATTAAGGAGCTAAAAGAAAATGTAAGTCGGAACAGATCACACCGCATGTTAGTCTGCACAGTCTCCTGACTCCTCAATATTTCCATGAAACCAGTTTAGACTTTTCCAGACATTAGCAAAGCAAGTGTAAATAATGCGAATGGCTTTGAGACTGTAAATGGATCACACTTATGCATCCCTTCTGAATTGGAAGTTGATAAGAGTTTAAGTTAGCCTACACATAAGGGAAGCAAATCTGAGTTACTCGGACTCTTCCTTTTTCCTTTGCTAAGAACAAGCTAAACACAAAGGCATTGGCACTCAGAGCTAAGGAAGAGTCATTCTTGTCACCTCTCATGCAAGGAGGGTTCCCAGTCCCATGCTTGCCCCTGTGCCCTGTAATTTCTTCTCTCTAAGCTGAGTCCTACTGTGAAGTGCTCCTCTGTCGGTACCCTGCTTGTGTGTGAGCTGCTGTCCTAGGGACTGTATGGGGGTGGGTTATATTTTAGGCTGTTGCAGGAAGGGAGCTCGCCTGTTGATGTATATGGCAAAGTGCTGGCAGCCCCTTATAAATATCACTGCCAGCTCGCTTTGCATTTTGATGGAGGAAAGTACTTACAGTAGTTTTCTTTGTGGATAGCAAAGGGGGCAGGAGGAACAACGGTCTTTTTCTTAAACTTAAGCGTTGTCTCTTGCAGAAGATAAAAGCGAGATGAAACCTTGCATCCTATCATGGGTATTCTACATGTGTTTTCTGTTGCTTGTTGGGTGACATGGTGGTAAACAGAGATGCTCTCCTCTCGCTGACAGCTGATTTTACTTTTCCTTTTGATTTCTCAGTGGCCCTGCACAGTCAAGCTTGCCTGAGCTCAGCAGTAGCAGCTGCTGGAAGACACTTTCTCTCTCACTCTGTCGATGCTGTTTTCAGGCTCTCAGATGTTTCTTGCTTCTACTGAGCAGACTTTTGGTCAACATCTCTGTCTCAGATGTGCTGATTCCAGCTGATTCCTTAGCCTGCTATTTTGCTCCACTTATACAAGACCGCTCTGAATAAATCACCACTATCATGCAGAGGTGAATCCACAAGGCGCTTTTCAGAGGAGTGTTTCTATTAGAAATTTCAGAAAGTGCCGCCAATGTCATTTACAGAAAGGTTAATTTATTATTGAGAGACCTTGATTGTCCACTCCTTTATAATGTCTTTGCATTGTAATTCAGAGGAATGGGATATAAAAATGCTATTAAAAGATGAAAACTTTCCTAGAATACTCTTTTTTCCCTCCACCTGAACTGCCTGTATTATGCAGAAGTAGAAGCTGTGACAGGCATTACGATGCTGTATCCTCCCCAGGTTTACGTGCAGTGGCATGTAACAGGCACACATTTTGACACCACCTAACTCTTTTAAGCGATGATGGTTCCACATCCTTTTAGAAAACGGGCTAAACTGCCATCTCCTGCCCTCAAAATCAATGCTAATGTTCCTGAGTGGATTTAGTTATAGCTATATCGGATTCCAAAACTGTATGATGGACAGCCTCACAATTTATGAAATTAACTGTGTGTTATCAAACTGGGAATACAGATGCTTTTTTCCATTTTTCTCCAGTTTTACTAGAATAATGGAGGCCAAACAATTCCAGACAAGCACTGCACAGTAATTGCAGTTGATATTGTCATACAGAGCCTGCAATGATTTTACTGGCTCTGAAAAGTTCGGTCTGTTGGAACATAGCAGATATGCTTGGAAAATCAGCACCCTTTCCATTCAACATTTTTATTCCTGAAGTAAAAGCTATGCTCCTTTACTCAGGTGAGTCCTTACTCACACGGGAGATCTGCCTGAGGAAGGACTGCACAGTTCGGCTTTAGGAACTTATCATTATGATCACCATTATCAATTTTGTGCTTTCTACTGTTATCCGTGATTATTAATTAATGCTTAATGTATTTTCCCAGCAGCTCTATCAGCCTCGCAGCATCTCTGGGGAAATGCCACTCTCCTCAGTTTTACATGGTGAGCAGCTGAAGCATGAGCCCGGGCTGGGTCAGAATTAGCACATCAATCAGAATTCAGGAGTTCCAGGCTGCTGGTCCTCTTCTCAGATCACCGGGTCCTACTTCTTCTTGCATCGCAGCTACACTTTTCAAACACACTCTCGCTGTAAGCCCTATGCCTGTGCAATAATAAAGGGAGATTTTTCTATGTGCTCCTGCCACAGAAATCAAAACGGCAGCTTGCCTCTGACAGTCAACACAAAAATTCTGCAGGTTCCTCACCCCACACAGATAGATCTAAGGCTCCCATCACGTGTGACTTGATTTATTTGTTTGGCATTGCAATTTTACACCCTGGTTCATATACACTGTGTCAGGTTGCTGTATCCTCTTTGCTCTGGCACTGACAAAAATTATAACACTACAGTGCTATAGTATTTATAGACTTAAAATGTAGCAACCATGTCTTGCCAGACCTCATGAATACACTAGAAAGGTTCTGAAGCATTACAGTACATTTACACAAAACACCTGCCTTGATTTTTTTTAACAAACTGGTGAAATCCAGACTAAGAAGAAAGGTACCACCTTGTTAAGGCTATTAGCTGTTTTTAAGGTACTTATAAAAATGCTGCGCTTCTCTGGCATAATTCTGGCCAGGAAAACACATCTTCCTATCTAAAATTTTTACTTATCTCAAGTGAGTTTCAAAGTGCATAGCTTGTACCTAAACAGTTTTTCCTGTACACTATATCTTGCATTGGTCTACAGCTGCCAGTGGGCAAAGTGATTCCCACGTATGGGGCAAAGCGCTCTCTTGCTGTATAGCAAAAGAAAACCTGCTTGTACTGAAAGGCAGAACGATTCAAGGTCAACAGGGGAAATATCACAGACTGTTCTGCTTATCACGTGGTCATAAAGGTACAGCAGAGTATAAACCAAAAAAATAGGATTGCCTTAAAGACAGTCTGACGTGCTTCTCACCCACACCATTCCCCTACTGTTCAAAAGCCAATTAAGAATGTTTTGTCTTTTTTTTTCCCCCCTATGTTAGTGCAACGAGGCCAAGAGAAAAGTCTGGCTAGAACACTTAGCATCACTTTGAAAACACGAACAACCAGTGACTGTGCTTTAAAAGTGTTTTCTGCTGTGAGAGCCTCACCGATTTCCCTGTGATGGGAAATTGTAAACTGAAGAAATTCTTAGACAAGGAAAAAAAAGTCGCTTTCAGAAGAATACCTGGAGGTTCTTCTGAGCAGAAGGTGGTCGGTGTCAGTAAAAACTCAAATTGCTAAAGCAAACTAAATGAAAGTAAATCCGCATTCTATAGAGCAGGACTGCAATTTCATAAGCTAACATGCAGCTATTTCTGGTGTTGCTTAACTGCGAACAGGATTGAACATGTGCATTTCCACGTTTTAAATTTAACACAGAGTATTGCAGAAGTGTTTCCACTTCTGCATTAGATAAACTTTAGCACTAAAACGGAATATTGGGATCTTAATGACTTTGCTTTAGTAACACCTAAACTTTTAATTAACCTGCCAAGACAAATTACAGCCCATAGCTCTTAGGGAACTATTGCAGACAGCTGAGACTCAACACCAATGCCTCTTCTGGGAGAGGGATTAATGGCAGCTTTGGAATGAGCCTGCTTTTTTCAGCAAAGAAAAAAAGTCCATTCAACAATCACTGTGGCTAGAAGAAAGCTGAGTGCTAGTTTTATGGAGAAATCTTTAAGTTACAACCAAATGAATTTGGGTATATGAAGAGTTTCAGCAGGTCAGTCAAATTTAAAATTCAATATTACTGAATCAGAAACAGATTCTGATATTTACAGGGTGGAGGAAGAATACCCAGTGCGCTAGGCTGTCAGGCAGCCCACAGGCTGCATCCTTTCCTCCTTGGACAGCAACAAATTGGTGCCTTTGCACTGGACTGGCAGGGCACTTTACTGCCAGAGAAAATTAGAGACCTGTTTGTTTAGTTAATTTGTTCTTCTTAAGAAATCTCAGCTTCTTTCTGCTAGCAAAGAGAAAGAGAGATTCCTGATATTGTGTCTCCTACTAGCGAGCCTTGCAGTGCTCTTTATTGGAGTTTTGGTGCCAGTACTCTGCCTGAACTCCAGCTTGAGTAGTTTTGATGGTGCTCAAAAGCAGGACTGCCTGTCACACAAAACTGTTGCGTGGTGCTGCTGTGTGCTCTTCTATCATTCCTATACCTCTGCTCCAGAAAGAGAAAAAAACAACCAACCAAACAAAAAACCTAAATAAAAAGAAAATCAAAGGAAGAAAATGAAGCATGGAATTTCAAGCTTGTAATCTATCTTTGGCACTGGGTAGAATCTCGTTACGGATATAGTTACTAAAAAGGTCTACAAAATACTTATGAGATATTTAGGGCCTAAAAGTATTCAGCCTGTTGCTAAATATATCCCCTACAAGCATTCTCCCTGAAACCATAGAAAGCTACCATGCAATTTGAGTATGTGCGTTAATACCTGGCCTCAAGGCATATGTAGGAGTTTAGGAATAATACAGGAAATCCTTACCAATAGCAGTAGTAAGAAAAGAAACCACTTCCGACTCCTTGCCATCATTGTAGAAGGCTAAATGCCATATTCCGGAATCTAAATACTGGATAAACCCTGTCTCATGGCTGGACAAGGGCACAAAAGTTCTGTGTTGCCGCTGAGGTCCTTCTAAGCTTCTTGCCTCCTGTGTCAGTAGACGTCTTCCATCAAGGAGCTCGACGAAGTCAAACTGAAACATAAAAAAGAGTGATGTTTGTGGGTATTTCAGGCTTCCTCAAGCTTTGTCTCTTGCTCTGCGTCTGTCTTATGAGGGAGACAGACATACTTCATATCAAGTATTAGAAACGTACATCTACAGAAGCATTATAAACAGGATTTTCTCTGGTAACTCAAGTATGTTCCTGGACTACTTGCAAGTAACTGTTTTGGAAATAGCTAGTATATGAAAGTATTTTTCTGCAATTACATGAATCAAGAAATCGTCTTTATTTAGAATGTGATTTGGGGCATATTGACCCTCCTGATGTGTTCTCATTCTGTAGGAACAAAGGCACGGAAACGTGAGGTCCAGGGACCTGAACTGCACTGTAAGTATGATGATAAGCTTATTTGTTAGCTTCTTTGTGTCTTGTCTAATAAGGCAAATAGACAGAAAAATGTACCCAGCCTAAGTGGGCTGTTTGCCAGACTTGCTATGGGTCACCGAGAAAAAGATAAGAGGTATTTGTAAGTAAATTCTGGTAGAGGGCTTGCAGAAGTATTTTGCTTAGTCAGCAAGGGTTTTATCTCAAAGCAGTAGCAAAAGTGGTTAAAAGGTCGTAGAAGATGAAGATGGAAAAGAGATAAAATAATGTATAAAAGTCCCATTTAGAGGGTGGCTTTTGGAAGTTTTCCTCAAAAGGACATATTTATTTTTTGCCAGGGTAACTTCAGCTGAAAAACTGCTTTCATTTTGCTACTTGTATTGCAACTATCTTTAGTTCCCTATTTAAATAACTTTCCACTGACTTTCTACAATAGTTGTATTTTATCTGGTAATATATTAATGGGGCGAGTCAGATACAAGCCTAACAGACATCACAAATGTTAAGTGAACCTTATCTAATCTGACTTTTATTATGTGTTTAGGTGAACACGACATCTTGAGAGCAGAATCCAGCAGCTAGGGCACAGTTTAGCTTTTTTGTTCCCTGACTTCACTTGGTTTTGCCTCTCTCATCCAGCTGGTCAAATAAGCTCGTAGGAAAGAAGGAGGAAAACAGGCAGAAAGAAACAATACCACTTATTTTTGTACCAGTAAATGTTGCTGCACTGAATGGTTGCTGAGTGTTGGCTGAGTGTGGCAACAATATTTAGGCTTCTCATCCCTTTTGACTTTACTGTAACAAAATTTGGGTGCTTCTGTTATACTGTCAAGTTGTCTGTTCAAAGTCAACCAAGATAAAGACTTGATGACATGTGCTTTCCTCTGAAGTCATTGCTAAGTTAAAAAAAATTAAAAGTGTTTATTTCCAACAACCAATAAGCTATAAATGACGTAGCGTGCACATGAAATGATAAAATTTGTCCCTAGGGTATTTTAATTACTGTATTTTTAATTACTCATGTACATGAAATAAGTTTTGAGCCCTGCTTTAATTTTTTTGCTATACGTCAGTATATAGATCACTCAAATTTGGTGCTGAAGTGTCTTTTGAGAACGTAAAAGCTGGCACACCTGCAAAGGACATTCCTTTTGGGTGTCTATCCAAGTGAGCTTTGCCAGAGACAGACTTTCTGTTTTGAAGAAATATAATGTAAATGCAAATTATAAAAATGTAACACAAAAATATAAAATCTAAAAATGTAATGTAAATATAAAATCTAAAAAATATATAATTAAAATTATACGTTTCTGTTTTGAAAAATTACAATGCTTTAGTGATTTTTAGTTTAATGATACTAGTGAGAGGTTGGTTTGAATGACACTGTGTGAGCCAGATATTTGCAGACCCTCTGAGGATGAGCTACTGTCTAGGCTGACTCCTCGTTGGCTCTCAGTCTGGGCATGACACAACTGAGAAGGGCAGTGACAGAGGATGTCATAGTGCTGTTGGGCTGCTGGGAATGTTGCAGCGGGGTTGAGTCTGAGTGAGGAACACATTGGCCAGGTGTAGCAAAGAAGTTAAAACCAGTAAGAGAAAAACCTACCTATTTCCATTTCCATTTTGGAGTATGATGGGACAGATTTTTAAAAGGTACAGGTAACTGCAGACACCATAGGTAAAGTTCATCTCACCAAGTGCTGACATCTCCGTGGCAGCTTGAATTAGTTTTCTAGAACCACTGGATTGCAGTCAAAGAAAGGGACACTCCTAGAATGCAATCTGCCTCATCCCAAAGTTGGCATCTAAGGAATGTCTCATGGATTGTGCCTCAGGAGCCTCCATTTCCTGCTACATACTAGATGTAGGTGCTTAAAGCTTAGTGAGATGAAAACAATTTCAAGGTACCCAGCTACGGTGAGCTGCTGTTGTTACAGTCCAATCTGGGTTATGCTTACCTGGGGCTTCCTGCCAAAAGTAAAAGTTTATTTTTATAAATATTTGCAAGATGTTGCTGCGGATGTTGATGACTTTGCAAAGGTACTAGTTACTAGTTGTAAAGAGAAATGGAACCACAAATGGGTTGTGCTTTATTGCATTTTAGTACATTCAGAGATTTTTAATATGCAATTAGAGTTATTGCAAGGAAATTGTAGATAAAATACTATGTTAATAAATTCAAATTGTACAAATGGAAAAATGCCTCCCACAAGCTGTGATGGCCAATCCCTAAAATTTATGATTTAACAAAATTTGGCCTAGGTTAAAAAGAGTTTAAAAAATTATTCCATCTATGAAGATCAAATCTAATAGACCACAATAAAATTGTGTCACTTTTATTATGATTTGTTGAGAAGAATGAGAAGAAATGCCTTTAGTTAACAGTAAACTAGTTTAGACTTCTGCAGCCTCTATTTCTAAGACTACAGAGATTTGGAGCTTGCATTTTCTTCCTATTTATTAGTGTCTATGGTTGTTGGCAATCTCCAACCAATAGAAGACAGATCACCACAGGCAGAGAAAGTTTCCCAAACAGAATCTAGAACAGTTTGTTGTTTTAGCATGGATAAATACGACTTTTAACATTTTACCACATTGGGGAATATATGATCAGGGTCTACAGCCTTGGGATCAATTCAGAGATCCTGAAAGAGAATAGACTATGTTAAGGCCTATGCTACAGAAGATGTCGGATTATCTAAACCGAAGAAATATCTAATCATCTAACACAGAAGAAAATCTGATTATCAGCTAGAATTTTACTACTGTCATCAACTAGAAAGGCTGGTGAAAAAAATTTGACCCTTTATTAAATTATTCCGGAGGAGATTGTATCACTGCTCTAAGCATACATTTTGCCAAAGTCTTGTTTATGAAATCCCTTACAAAATTTGGAAATATAAAACTCATTCAGTAGATTTATGTGGTGCAGCAGATACTCTGGATTATGCAAGAGAAAAGATGAGATTTGTGTTATATGTATTAACTATGAGAGACAAGTGCACAATTTCAACACAGAAAACAGGTTACCTCTTTAATGACTCCTACGGCTATTAAACTATGCTGAGATTAAATGTTAAGGATTAAACTTCATATAAAAATATACAGAAGGAGGACAATGTTTTAATTGACGGCAGGTTTATAAAATAATAAATCTAGGAAAAGGGATCATTTCAAAATTAAATTAAATATTAACAAGTAATATATCAATATTGTTTCAATATCTGCAGTTTCATTAAATTATTTCTTCAGAACAGGGTGGGTTTTGGGATCTGTTTGTATTAGTGTGCCATGACTTTTATTGTTTGAATAAAAATGTCCCTCGGGTCATTTTTAGTGATGTTTTAGTCCAGATGATGATTTTTTTTAATATACTTGGCAGCTCTCAATTAGTGGCTACACAAAAAGCAGCACTTACAAGGACTCTGAGCAAGTGCATTGCCTCCTCCAGCATGTAATATTGAAAAACATGTGCCACATCCCACATTTAATGTCTCATTCTCAGCTGAGGCTTCAACTGATGATACACAACCACGCTGTTTTAAATGGGAAAGGTCCTCACACTGCCAACTCACCCAGAATATCCCAGCAAAAATGAGGTTAAACTAAAAACAGCAGCAATGGTGAAGTCAGTATGGGCTTCTTAATTGCTTAAAACATTACTATGGTTGGGTGTAGCGACCTGCTACATTTAAAGATTTTGCTTTAAGTTCAATAGACTTGAGGTTTAGGTGTTGAATTTTGCATTTGTTATTTAAACAATTGAAACTATTCATGTAATAACTCCTGTTCCATAACAGAAATTAATAATGATAACAAAAAGTAAAATCAGAGTTAATACAGACTTCTGACCTACAGTTAGCATTATGTGACCATGACTTGAGTTTTTTCTTAAGTACTACAGGAGTTTTAAGTTTTAAATATTTGAATCTCCCTGTAAAAAGAGAGTGATTAAAAATGGGCAATAAGAGCACTACTGTGTCACTGAATTTATGACCTGCTGATCCTATTGAAATATTTTAATTCTGCAGTAAAGTAGGCAGAGAAAGTGTAGATTTATGACACCTCTTTGACATAAATAAGTTGCAGGTGTGTTAATATGTAGAAAATAAAATATTACCCAGAAAGATTGTATCAAATATATTTGTTTGCTCAAAAAGAAAATAAAGGCAGGGTATTTCTATAAATCTCAAATGGTTGGTTGCTAGGCTTTTCAGTTAATAGTGGAGGGCAAGGGTAAGTTACAACATTAATATAAACCTGGCAATACTGTGATAACTTGCTGATGCAAGTGGGAGTAACATGCTTAGCATTGCCAATGAGAGTTATGCCCTAATGTATTAATCGATCTGGTTAAGAGCAGATTAGAAACTGAAATGGAAAGTAGAGAAAATAATGTACAAAATCCTTATTTAAGGGGATGGTTCTTTGGAGCTTTTCCCAGAAAGCGATTTCTTGACATGGTTTTTGCCAAGGCGTGTCAAGAAAAGCAACCGCTTTCATTTTAGTTCTACAGAATAATAACTATATCTTGATTTCTGCTTAAGTAAACCAGTGGCTTCCTGTAAAAATTTGATGTTGTTTGGTTATACACCAGTTACTGGGCCCTGACCAGTCTCAGCCTAATCCGACAGTCAACATGCATAATGTGAAGAGTTGGCTCAAGACATTTCAGCGCAGAAGACAAAAGTGAATCTTGCTCCCATGAGGATGAGAGACTGGGGCCTTGCTCCTACCATGAAAGGGGAAAGGCAAAGGTTGAAAGAGGGAGACAGACATGAGATACACGAGACTGCTTAAGAGATGGTTCTTTTTGATGTACTTTGAGCGTGGCTGCTGCTGCAAGGGGCAGTGGATGGAGAAGGTGGTATCTCATGCTGCTCGGAGCAACCAGACGATACCCTCAGTGACCACCAGCCCACAAACCCCTTTTCCTCCTCTGGCAGCTTGCTGCCTTAGGCAACTGCCTGCTTTGCCTGTGCCTCCAGCCCACCAGGTTAACGTGTGTAAATTTTGCAATTGTCACTTGATAATCTCTCTGGATAGATGACCTTTAACATCTTGCAAGCATGCAACAAATTCTTGAAAGAAATAGCTGAAATAAAACAACAAGCCATAAGAACATACAATTTAAGACAACTATTATTTAATTGAAATCGGGTCCCGTTACCTGTGTATGTGATGGTGGGAGGCCTTTTCTGCCATAGATGCCAACCAGAGCAGCCTTTCCTAAAGACACATTGAATTTCAGATGCACTGGGTGGTCGATGAACACCTGAGATCTCCAAAAGATACCAGGAGGGATCTTCTGTGTGGCTCGTCTGCCAACATCAATTTCTCCAGAGTCTATAAAACTGTCGTCTGGAAAGAAACTACTGGGCTTTCCTGCCAAAACACAGGAACAAAAATCTTGGATTAGCCTTAGATCCTAAAAATAATCCAATCATACTGGTATCTCTGACACTGATCTTGAGAAACAGTCTATTAGTGTCCTGAGGTCTTCAGAGTACTTTGTCTAGCCAATCCGTACGATTATGGGAGGAAAACTGGCAGGGTTAGTCCTGGCTTCAGTAACTGTTTTGTTTGAAAACATGAACATGGGAAGAGCAACCTGGAGAAAAATGGCCTTTTGTTTAAATTGTAACATCAGAGAGTGTGTAATTACATTCTGAAGATAAGATAAATCATCTGACATATCCTAAATGAATACAAGTTCACGGATGGAGAAGCCATCATTAGATTAGCAAAGAGAAGTGTAGTAAGGGTGAGGTGGATGTGTCACAGAATGGAATGGTAGTGTGGAGAACAGCAGCATGAACGATGCCTAAGTGGGGAAAGGAAAATGTTTCTCTATTAAATTAATTCTTGACAGTGGTAACAGTATTTGAAATTTGTTCAACAGTCCAAAAAAAGCTAAAGAAAAAAAAGGACTGAGAAAAATGCAGAAAATCATACCTTGCACTTGAGTAATATCTACTAAGAAACATGAGAGGTTTTAACTGGGTTTCAATACAATCTGTAAAGTGTGTTACAACTATCCATCTTCTTTTAGAAGACAAGCAAATGGAGGCATCTGTTTCTTAAAGTGACCACCAGGTTGGAGAGCCTGGGTATCCGGATGGCAGTCAATACATGCCATAATGGCCAAGGGAATCATCAGGGAGCTCGGCATCCCTGGAAAACACATCTGAGAAATTCCATGTTAGAAATTCATACACTCACAGTTCTCAAAACTGGTGGCCACTTCAAAAAATTTGGACCCAAAGGAAGCCCAGGGAATGAGGGGCAGAATGAAAAATAAAATGCCAGATTGTTGCCTTTCCACAGCCTCACCTGCAGTGCATAAAGACAATGAAGAAGGCAACGGCTTAGCAAACAGACTTTATTTAAGGACACTTCTAGTTGGAAAGTATGCAGTAAAGATCTGGCTTTAGTAAGGAGAACATCATGTCACCAGCAAGGACTAATTATTAGTTTTCTAAATTCAAATAAATTTTTCACCTCCATGCCATTACAGCACACTACTCTTTGTTTCAAAGATCAAGCAATTCTAACAAAATGAGAAGGAAACTTTCAGGAACATACAATCTTTTATAGAAAAATCACATTGTGAGATTTTTTTCTTCCAGAACCTACATTTGGGAAATGGGAAACAAAAGCATCTTTTCCCACCCATCATGAATTCAAGTCAAATAGTCTTAGAATTCACTTGCCGTGTTGAAAAGTTGATTGGTAGAACAACCTCTCATTTTATTGTTTCAAATTATAATATTTCCTTTAGTATTTTATAATATTAATTACAAGATTTCCTTAAACTTCTCCATATACCATTCCAACATAAACTTTCCAGGAGAAAGAGATGTAAATTATTAGCTGTCTCTGTAAAATCCGTATAGAAATTATATGCATATTAGAATCATAGAATCATTTAGGTTGGAAAAGACCTTTAAGATCATCAAGTCCAACCGTTAACCGAGCACTGCCAAGCCCACCACTAAACCATGGCCCTAAGTGCCACATCTACTAACTGTTAACAAAAGAAGACTGAAGGTGTTTCTTCGTAGGGTGGAGAATTTTTCTCTCTTTTTTTTTTTTTCTTTTTTTAACTTATGTAAAACTTTTTAGCAGAACTTTTGGTCCGAATAAGACTAACCCCTGATTTAAAGTTGGCAACTCCTTAAGTACGCTGTTGGAGTGGGACTTGAAGGAATATTTCATTTCTGTGCTATCTTGTGGCAGAAGTTTTATGCATACCAGCACAGTCTAGAATGCAAAGAGTGTATAGGTGCTCATAGAAAAAAAGGTACTGGTAATTTTATAAGATCCTCATTTATCTTTGTTCATCACATTCAAATAAATCCAGAGGGAAAATCTGCTGACTTTTTATCCTTTTTTTAGTCAAAGTGTATATTAATAGAGATAATCAGAAGCAGCTTAGGTAAATGGACATTCTTCCGAATCATTTTGTGCTGATAGAGTACAATTGTACAATGAAAATCAACTAGCTTGATTCTGAAGGGGATTACTTTATCAACTGTATTGTTAATATTTATTTGGCATACTAAAAATTACTTTCCATGCTGTCAGGATTAAAGGAAACAGTTCCCATGTCTTCATGAAAAGTTTCTTATTCCATTATTGTAAGATGAAAAGATTCAGGATTCTATTAAAAAAGAGCTAAAGACATCACATGTTTTGATTCAAATGAAGGATATATTTTTCTGATTACTACTAACATGTTTTATAGATTCTTAGAAATTCAGATGAAAACCGAAAGTATTTGATATGCACCCTGATTGTTCATTAATGAAGATTGTACACCAGAGTGAATCAGGGAAGGTCAGAATTTAATATGATAGATGCTGCTATGCAAGAGAGCCTGGAGCAAACGAGCACAGCATATATTCTGCCTGTCCAGAGAGCAGCGCTTGCTCATGCGAGCAAAAATGCTTCTGTGATTGCAAAAGACAATTTCACAGAAATAACTGTTTGTACACACAATCTCAAAGTTTATGCCTCCTCTTTGTGGACAGTTGTATGTCTGAGAAGCTGATATCCTAAGAGCTGTTATATCATGTTGCCAGCAGTTGACATTTATCCCGATAGAGAAGTCCGAAGAAAGGCTCTCTTCACCAGGCTGAATTCAGCCCCTGAAATCCATCCGTGTTTCATCAGTTTTTAACCTACAGCAGGATCAGGCCCTACGGACTGGATATTTCATAAAGAACGTACAATAAGAAAGCCATTTCAGCTTTTAATCAGAAATTAGGTTTTAATCAGAATATCTGACTCCTTAAAATTAACTTCAGGTCTGAATTCTTAATTGGGCTGTCAATTACTTTGCTCTTTCCACACATTACCTTGAACTTTTTAGTTGCTGTAGCAACTATTCCTAATTTATTTGGATATCAAAATGAACTATTTCATTTCAGGCCTTGCTGAATCTGCTTGTATTTTTGACAGCAAGGTACCCTGACTCATCAAAACACTTAAGAACACACTTAGATTTCTCTGACTTCAATCGCAGTTAATTACATGCTTAAATGTAAGCATGTGATTATGTGCTTTGCTAAACAGGGATGGGCTTAAACAGAGGTAAACGCTGTGCTGGAGCACAGCCACAGATGAGAAGGAATGAGTATTACGGAGAATTGGCAAGACATCGGTAATGATTCATCCCGACCAGCTGTAAGGATATTCTAACACATTTCAGCCTATTTCATTGTGATCAAGAAGCCTTTCAAATATATTTCAATCCATTTTTTAATACATTTCAATCACATACATTCTGGTTTAGAATAGCAGCCATGCAACGCTGCTAGTCCAGAAGCAGTTGCAGATGGGGAGAGAGATGCATTTTAAGGCTGGGCAGTGTTACTCCTGCAATAAAGATGTTGTCCTGATGTGTTTTTTAGTCAGGACAAGGTACTCTCCTCTAAAGCCTGCAGATTCCCTAAGATCTACATGAAGCACTAGCTTGAGGGGTCTTCTAATGACATAACTAGGGTACTTCCCAGATTTCTCTTTTAGCAGAGCTTTTTGGAAGCAATTAAAACTTCTACTGATGTCACTGTAAGCATGGCTGAAAAAGAAATCAAGTGGAGGTCTTTGATTTGGACGGCAGTGTTGGATACATCCATTTATTTTCAGTTTGACTTTTCAAAGGAAATGGACAGATCAAAATTAAACGTTTCAAAAATAAAATATATGGCAAGTTAGAGGGAAAAAAAAAAAAAAAGGATCTGTCATGAAGTATTTCTGCATACAACAGCAGGGGTATCTGCAGCTTGCTGTACTGTCTAGTAAGGTTTGCTGAGAATAACCCGCTTGGCTGATTTTTCTTGTAGCAACTTGATGTCAGCTATCAGTTCCTAGCAAATACACTGTTTTAAGGAACACACATAATTATGGCTTTTATTTGGACTAATGAAGACAGATAAGCTCTTAAAGAAAAAATGCTACAATTGATTTAAATTAAACATGTAAACATAGGCTCTCAGCCAAAGTCTAGGGCGCTCTGTGGAAACTTTTGAGTTCAATGAGTTGCCAGAACAGTAGCGCACTTCTTATCTCTTACCCACAAAACTTCCTCCCCCAAAATAACTACCAAAAATAGCCAATGACTTCAATTTTACTGGAATCCGTTAACCTCACATAAAGAAGCTTGACACACAAACAAGACAGCTTTCTGAAAATTCAAATTTCTCATTTCTCCAGCTAAGTCTTGGGAGGGATAAAACACCTCTCCTTTGCAGAGCTTAAAGGTACTTTTGGCAGTGCTGCCTCTATACAAAGCACAGTAAGATGCAAAGCTGCTGGATAATATACTGCTGAATTGATGACCCATCGGTTGCTTCCAATTTCAGTTAAAAATGCAAGCTGTCGACATCGTGATACTAAGTGGAGACTAGGCCTTTTATCTGGCTACTTTTGCAAAGAGATGTCCAACTCTGGAGTGCCAAAACTCACAGTGTAATAGCTCTTAGTAACTATTTTGCTCCTCAAAACATTTGCTACTAGGTGGCAATGAGTAGGCAAACCCAAACATTTTTGTACTTCCGTAGAGAAAATGTGACCCGATGCTCCAGGAATCATTTAATTTTCAAGACACAATTCTCTCTCATGAAAACAGCCACTCAAGGCAGGGTTTTCATGATGGCCTTCTGTAGCCTGTGAGATATGGTACAGACGGTTCCACCTTGAGAATGCCTTAGATGTGTGGTGAGGGTTGCACACAGTTTTATCACATTAGTGGACATCAGAAGGGTATGAAACTTAGAAACATATGGAAACAAGACTGACGACTACTAGTTGTAGAAGTGAAAGACTGGAAAAAGCACCTGATGATGGCAGCATTGAGAGTAATGGAACATGAGATTGGATGGCCGGAGTTCAGAGGCAGACAGAAGACTCACAACATGGACACACACCAACCATACCTTCACTGGTTCCTTTGCCTTTCCTGTCAGGTAACTCTAACCCTGTGCCCCCCGAAGGATATAAGGAGACGTCCGTTGGCACTGGCCAACTGCTGGCTGTGTCTTCCGTGATTTCATACATCTGCCCTTCCATCGGCTGCAGGTGCCAGTTTAGGCCAAACAGGTGCATGGCTGTGGTGAGCAATGAGAAAAGTCATCGTTTTCTGTTTGGGAGAGTTTCAGAACTACAGGGGCACTTTCTAAACCCTCACTGCCTTATTAGCGGTCATTGCTTTAGGACAAGAATGGGATTAATGTAATTAGACAGCCCCTGCTGCTTCTACCATACCAAGTCCCTAGGTCTTGCCACCCACTTAAACTCACTTTAGATCACCTGTACCAATCCACTCTGCTTTTGCCAGTAGAACCAGTCCTGACTTGCGGCCTGCATGAGAGAATAACCAGGCACAGTGTTTCAGAAAGCTCCCAAAGCTGGGGTGACAATGCCGTGAACACAGAAATATGAGGAGTATTATTTATCAACATACCAATAAATCCCAGGAAACTGCATTCTGGTTCGTTTTGCTGTATTCACAGCATATTATATAGGTTCTTTTTTTTTTTTTTTTTACCCACCAATTATCAGAAGCTCTTATAGACATCTCTGACAGTTTTTCCTGAATAAGACCAAGTAAACACTAAGGCAATTTAATATCCATCTTGCACACATGCCTTTGTGCCCAGCACCAGGAATGCGAGTGACTATGACTGAGCACTCCTTAGTACAACGCAGCTTCTCCTATTCAGATCAAAGATACACCCTCAAGATTTGAAAACAAGCAGCACCATTTAGATTCGTGTGATATCAGGGCATAGCTCTCTGTAGGTTTCTGGGCCATGCAAAGTCATCCAGTGCACACATGAATCTATTTCGAGGCATTACAGAAAGACAAGTGAAGTTAAGGAACAAGACAGAATACTTAAAAAGCAAACACATGTATGAGGAGTATGGAAAATCATATGCTTGTACAACTAATACTTGCCCCTTGAAAATATAAAGCAAAAGAATGTGGATTCCTACATCAGTTCTTCCGTCCCCAGCATCAACATCACATAATCAATCAGTATCCAGTTTAGCTTCAGGCTCTACACAGCTAAATGATCCAATATTTGCTACACTCAGAATGACATTTCTTTTTTAAGGGAACTCCTTGATATTTTACATTTCTCCAAGAAACTGTACAATGGCACTAGCACCACAGCCATTTAACATAAACAGAAAGAGTCAAAGCTAGTAAAGAAATAGAGCATTTCCATTGCCTATAGTTCTCATTTTATTCACAAAGATACAGCTGAGCTTGGCAAACACTGTCAGGGACAAGTGGTTAGTTTATTTAAACCTGTACATCAGGAACAATCTTTGAAAAAAGAAAAAAATTGAAAAGCAATCTGAGTAATCTAATTTTTCTCCAAAAAAGGCATGTTTAGGCAATTTAGCAAAATCAATGATTTTTTCCACTTCAGTCTCAATTAGGTCATCTATCATTTACCAACATGAATAACCTTGTCTTTGCACTACTACAACATCATAAAACACAGTAAGAGCAAAACTCTTCTTTTACCGTGTAAGCAGGTACTGGGTTTGTTAATGAAGTCTTAACCATTAAGAAAGAAAATACACTCCTGAAACTCCCAAACAGGGAAGCACAGCGAGGACGCACACCCGCAGACCGGTTCGAAACTTGAACATTTTTATATGGGTACACATAGCAAGAAGGAATGCTACCAACACAACTGGTAATTCAGCCAGGATACTTTAGGCAGAGTGGCCAGTATTGTCATCTGAAAGGAGTATATTTACTTGGCAGAGAAAGCGTGCAAGGGAAGAGAGGAAATCAGACTAGGAGCAAGGAATTTGCATCAAGCATTTGGCATTGCTATGTTTGCATAATACCTTTGTGTTTATACGGCCCTCATCATCAGAGTGCCCGGGCACTTCATAGCTATTAACCTCATAAAACCTCATCAGGTAGGAATCTGATCTTTCTGCTCCACAGAAAGGAAAGAGAGAACTACAGCAGATTAAAGGACTGACTCCATTCACTTGTTTGGGCATTAAAATGCGATTGTGTTTTAATTCACTTCACTTACTCTGTACTCATAGGTTCACAAGCCCTAACAGGCATTTCATGCACCCCTCCGCTGCCAGCGGTTTTTACGCTAAGCTCAGTACTGGATGCTGCCTGAGAATGCCACCCAGGCTGGACCCCTCCATGGACCGGAGAGCCACCCAGGTGCCGCTGAGCTGTTAGGGAGCTCAGGGTCTTAGGTGCTCTGAGCATGTGCAGGTTCCCGTGTTTAACCACCTGGATGTTTGCAGTTCAAAGCAGAATGAAAACTGTGCTGTTCACACCTCCAAACTCAGGCAATCCTAGACAGTAAGCAGTCTGGATGCCTGTGCTGGCCCTAAGTGCTTCATCCCAACTCCATCTGCCAGATCTCTTCATATTACAATGACTTGCATATGCTTATACTGGGCACCACTGGTTCAGGCAGGAATTGAGACAGTGGTTTTTTTTTTTCACCATACCATTTGAATTGCTCTGGCCTTTGGATATCGCAGTCACACAGGCTCTTAGGAAGACACTGACAGGCCATTGTTTCATTGTCCAAAAGGACATTGTTCCCCCTTCTCTCCTTTGTAGGAATTTGTGGCTTGTAGATTATTTACAGCAAGAAAATAAAAGTAAAGAAGTCAGTATTGTTTTGGGTGTAGTGGGAAGGCTATGGACATTTCTTCCAGGCATGCAAAATGCATTTAAAAACACCTGAGAGGAAATGTCTAATGAGGGGAAAAACTTGCTTCAATCTAAGGAGAGAACTGGCAGCCTGGAAGTGCTAGGGCTTTTCTGCACATTATCTGTCCCCTTGAGCAACTGAATCAACCGTTCCATGCCACATTCATTCCTAAATGCTTTGAAAGTGTCTTACAATGTCCCAACATAGAAAATATGATAGAATTATCTGCAACATAGATATTGGCTGTGTTATCACACAGAGATAAAAGGCTTGCATTAATATGTTAACTTTTGTCTTTGGTTAACAGATTTTGTCTGAAGTAAAAAGCTTCTTGTGTACATTGATCCCATCGTCACATAGATCATAGAATCATAGAACAGTTTGGGTTGAAAGGGACCTTAAAGTTCATCTAGTTCCATCCAACCAGAGCTTGAACACTTCCAGGGATGGGGCATCCACAGCTTCTCTGGGCAACCTGTGCCAGTGCCTCACCACCCTCACTGTAAAGAGTTTCTTCCTTATATCTAATGTGAATCTACTCTCTTTTCATTTAAAACCATTACCTCTTGTCCTCTCACTACAGGCCCTGGTAAAAAGTCTCACTCCATCTTTCTTATAAGCCCCCTTTAAGTATTGAAAGGCTGTAAGAAGGTCTCCAATGAGGATCCATGAGAATGAGATGTACGCCCACCATGCATACAAAAGCACAAAAATCTGAGAAACACAGAGAATTATTTGAAAAGCATTTTGATTACTAAGAGCTAGTGCTCTATCCAGGGTTTCTGATTTGATGTTTCTAAGCACAAAATAAAAGCCTATAAATATTTCCACCCGTAAGGCAACCAGACATCATGCAATTTCTGCTGCAGGTAGGTAATAACCACAAAAGCCTTCCTGAAACCAGAACAAAATGTCTGATTTACTTTGGAAACACACTCTGGTAGCAGGTATGTTATTAGGAAATCACCTGATTAAGTGTTTATCATTACTGTCTTCCAAATACCAACAGTGTCTGACTGGCCAGCTGGTGGAAGATACGGTCTTCAGCTTGCTCCCCCTAACTGCCATACCCATGCTAGAAAGTCAAGTAGTGACAGCAGTGGATGTTTTGGGTCTCTAAATCTCCGTGGGATGTGTAAAACTGTTGATGCACAGGTTATTTAAAGGTTTTAGGAGAGGCACAAGTCAGCCTTGTTCTGTGCTAAATTGATGCAAAGTTGTTGTGGGGAAAAAAAAAAAAAAAGGACCACAATCAGGGAAAAACCCTGGAACCTGGAACCATGGATGAGAGGCACAGTCATATACTTTGAAGGGTTAATGTTCCTAAAAGCAAAGTGAAGCTGTAAAAATAGTTTGTGATTCATGATGTTCTCAGTCTCCAGGTCAATTGAACCCACCGTTGACATTTTCTCTGGCTTTTTTTTTTTTTTTCTGCTCAGCCAGATGTAAGATGTGGCTCACAAAGAGCAAATGTCCTCCTGAAAGCCCCCATGTCCTTCTCCCTCTCCCTCCCCAACATGATGCTCAGTAGATATTCAGATATTGAAGGCTCCCCATGTATTAAAAGAGCACACTGCAATTAACAATCATTAAAGTGTACCCTTTTGTAAAATACCATGTAGCTTTCACTGCCTAGGAAGCCTCATGACATGCTCTTTGCAGAAGCTTTGGTTGTATTTCCTATGGCTAATAAAACTCTTTTGTCTGCTTTCTCTTGGAATGGAAAGAATACTGAGGGGAAACCCTGCATGCGTCCTCTCTGGGCTGTTTCAGCACCAACAACTTAGATGATATACAGGCATTTGGGGCATCTGGCCCATTATGCTCATGTTTTGACATCAAATCTTTGACTTGCACAACCTTTTAACTGTAACTAAGTGCTAGCAAAAAGTGCCCTGAAATTTGCTGAGTGGGTAATAGAATTTTCTGTGGCAGAATAAACCACCTTATCCTCGGTCCTAAGTCACCTCTGGCTGCCGCCTTGGTGGGGAAAAGAAGGAAGCCAAACTCCTGTCCTTTTCAGGGTTTGATTACTTTGCTGAGTTCAGCATTTCAACCACAGCAGTGTGATGTGGCTATTCATTTGCTGGACTCAGATTCACTTTAGCAAAGCAAATTTACAAACAGTTTAGCATCAGCTGAGTTATTTAACCATCCAGATAAATCAAAGTTCATATTGGTGGAACCAAGTATTCAGGATCATGATTCCTTAGGTTTTAACACATATTTCTTTCTGTATTGCATTATTCCTACTCCATAGCTGTTTGTGGAGGCCATAAGCAGCATTAGCTGATGCTGTTAAGCAAAATAAAGAGGAACTTTGTTTCCAACTTTGTTTTGAAGAGACTGGGGCTTTTGGGTACCTTTGTATTATTGTCACTTGCTTATGACAC